TTTTAATGTCCATGTTGAACTTGTGCAACTGACTGTTAATAAACATCTATTCTATTCTGAAATCTTAGCATTAATTTGCATGTAAATAGAATAGAGTTGAATAGAATAGAACAGAATTACTTTATTGATCCCAAACTGGAAAATTGTGGCGTTACAGTAGCAGGTTATTCAAACACACAATATGAGTAAAAAACACAATATCAGCAAATCTAAACACAATATAATATTAAATACAAAGTAAATAAGCACTAAAAATATCAAAACTAAGAATGTGAATATATACAACCAGGATTTAACTAAGCATTACTAGTCTTAAATAGGAAGATTAAATGTAAATGTGCAAAAACAGAGTTGTAAATGGACAGTATTGACATAAGTTAAAGTACATGAGTGTAGACATATTATAAGCAGAAACTATACAATATAACGGCGAGTAGACAGCCAAGATGATGGCTTATTTGAAATGTATTGTGTGTAATGGTTCCGTGGAGTCCTACGTTACCCTTTGAGCCATTAAATACAAAACATTTTCATTTTCAGGATTCACATTATTAACAAAATGGAGTCGGCTCTCAAACGAGAGCATCCGAGGAGCAGTTGAACGCAGCAATACTGCAGTCTCACGAAAAAAAAAGAAAAAAAAAAGGAAGGGGGCGGGTACCTTGAAGCTCCACGCCCTCTTTTACCATATATGGGCAGTCTGGCGGATCGGCGTGCGGCTACATCCACCCGGCGAAAAAAGTGGACACGAGACGTCGGTGTGCTCCCGAAACACAGTGATTCCTTATCCAGGTAAGATACGCATTAACGGGGGGTTTTGACAACTACGACACGTTTAGACAACACAACAAAAACTCTGTTCAAACAAACGTAGACGTGAACAAAACTCACGAACGGTCGATTTACACGTTTTCAGACCTTCGTGTGAGCCGGTGTTGGGCCTTCGCGCGTCACGTTAGCATTAGCATTAGCATTGACGACTCAGGCCTGTCAGCGCAAGTTCCGTTGTTAGCCCAGCAGCGAGGGAGCTACATCAATATATCTATATATATAAGATGATCCTCTTCTGTGTGGCACCTTTTCTTAACAAACCAGTGCGATAGATACGGTATCACTCTTAGGTTATTCATTGTGAAATGATAAATCTGCCGATGATATTGGCGGCATCTGCTGCCGTTAGCATCAGCGGGGCTAACGGAGCTCAACGTGCAAGCAGGTGGTATTGAAGGGACCGATTCTTGGTTAGCACCATCACCACAGCTCTTTAGGCCCCCATCGTTCACCACATTAGGCCTTTCTCTTTCTAACGTGAGTCATAAATTTAATACAAAACATCCGAATCTTGACGTTTACATGTTTGATTTTAAACACCGGTGTTACACCGAGAAATGCATCCCTTCCAAAAAAAAAAAAAAAAAATGTGTTATCTTTATTTCCGGTGGCACAATCGGTTGATGACAAAGTATGCGAAGTTTATAATTAATTAAGTTAAGTGTCCTTATTGTTTATGTAGACTAAGTAGAGGACATTTAAAGGTGGAAATTGTGTCTGCCATACTTTACATCGTCCTGCGCGGTGGATTCAATTCTCGGCGTAACACCGGCATATTTTGACACCGGTTAATCTGCGTCTCTCGCCACTTTCTGTACGTGATTGAATCAACCATTATAACCAGAATCATAATCTGATCATGTTTAAGTAGGTGTTCCCAAGACATCATGAGTGTCAGGACCAGCTGAGAAACCTGGGCGTAGGGATTTTCTTTGGACATGTGGTGTTAGGGCTGGACGATATGGATCAAAACTCGTACCTCGATATTGTTTAGCTGAATGGCGATACTCGATATGTATTTTATTAACAGTGGACAACACATGGGGAAAAAAATAAACTACCTGTTTGTGAATTTAAAAAGTAATGTTATAAAATGGAAAATCTTCCTTAAATACAATAAAAGAGAGAGAGAGAGGAGGAGCAGGGTTAAGAGGGACAGACAGTCATCATCAGTGAGATGAGAAAAAAGTGACCTGGCCACCTCTGTAACGTTATTTTAATGCAACTTAAACTATATCGATGTTAACGATGTAGTCTTACCTATATTTTGTTTGAAAATCTATCGATATATCTTAAAGACTCGATATATTGCCCAGCCCTAATATATGGTGACTAATATTTTTTTGTTGATGTGGGCCTCTTCCTCTATTTCCTGCTTTTAAAACAGCTCCACACAACCATGCCATCCGACTTAGCCAAGAAGAAGGCAGCGAAGAAGAAGGAGGCTGCGAAAGCTCGTCAGCGTACCAAGAAAACTGATGAAGGAAATGAAGATGGTGACCAACCGGAGACCCAGAGCAATGGAGCAGAGAGCAATGGTAAGGAATGAACGTTTTTATTTGGTCTTTATTTTATAAACTCGGGTATGATTTACTTTGCCTGTAAGATTAAATTGTTCAATTTTGTCATAAACTTCACTTGTTTTATGTTTCTCGTGATAGTACTACAC